ACAGCACCTCAGACTGAAGAAGTCTCTCGGACGAGAGACGAAACGTTTCTACATTTTTTTGCTTTGTTTTGTTTTTGTTTTTTTTGAATGTCCAGAGGACCAGATTGAACTTTTTTGGAGAAATGAGAATAGTTTTATAAGAGTGACATTTATGTATAAAGAATTTACCCCAACTGCTTTGAACAGCCTCAATGAATAAACATCCAACTTGACAGGATAAAAGTAATCACTATTGTTATTGTATTGTATTAAGACCAGTAGCCCTGTGTCTTGGATACTCAGATATAGAGAAGGGCAGAGCGGTCGACTAAATACAAACTGGTGGTGAGTTGGATCTGGTGGCAGGGGAGGCTGCTGGACAGACCGGATAAACCCAAGCAAGTAGTGAGGTGGGGCTGTCTAGCAGAGCACTCTGGCCCAAAATATCTCAACTGAAACCTCCAGGAATGTTTTTCCACATGTCCCAGGGGAGGTTGCAGACATGGAATTTTAATGGCCCATGTTCAGGGTCTCTATGTAGATGCACTGTCCAGGAGGTTTGGTGCCTGTTGCAGCAGCAACTGAAGGACCCACTAGTGGACGAGTGGTGATGGGCCATCAAGCTTTCCCAGAGGGCTGGAAATAGCGTACAGATACAGGGTAAACAGATGGGCTGCAGCTACTGTGGTTGTAGGCAAAGAATTCAGAATGGGAAGACTCCAGGGAGGCCATGAAGAAAGACTTTGGGTTGGTCTCAAGGAGCAAACCATTTGGTAACTCAGAAAGGGAATGCGGAACCTGTCCCAGGCTGTGCTTAGTTTGGGTGGGGAACGGCTGACCTGAACTGGGGATATTGTTGAATGATGTAAAGAGCACTTTGAAGATTTTCTTAATTTGGCAACTATGTCCATTTTGAAGGAGGGAATCAAGGGAAGCCAAGTCTCCAGTCATGTCAGAGGTCATCAAGGCGGTTAAAAAGCTCCTCGGTGGCAGTGTACTAAGGGTAGATGAGATCCGCCCAGAGATGCTGAAGGCTCTCGCTATTGTGCGACTGTTATGGTTGACATATCTCATCAATGTCACATGAAGCATATAGTATATCGTAGTGTATATCCTAGATCCTGATTTACTGTTTATTGTTATACTTTATATTTTGCTATTTTTGGGTGCAAATGGGGCCCTGTGTACCGGTATATAGTTTTGTTCCACCTCATGTACCACATGTGATAGTAATGACAATAAAGTTGACTTGAACTTGAAGGGCTGGAACAATGCCTGCCCAGTGGCAGACTGTGGTGGTGGCTTCCTTTTTTAATGGAGACCAGAGAATGTGTTCCAGTTATTGAGGGATGACACTTCTCAGCCTCCCTGGGAAAGTCTACTGTGTTAAAAAAAGAAGGCTCCCACTGATTGTTGAACTTTGGCTTCAGGAGGAGCAGTGTGGCTTTTTGCTATGTCTATGAACAGTGGACTGTACCTTTATTGTTGCTAAGGGATCATGGGAGTTTAGCTCCAGTCTACAAGTTTTTTATTGACCTGGAGAAGGCTTATGACGGTGTGCTCTGAGGCATTCTGTGGGGGTGCTGCAGGAATTTGCTGTGTGAGAGTTGTTTGTAAGGGTTACCTTTCCCTCCATGACCAAAGCAAAAGGAAAGTAGTCTACATCCTCAGTACAGAGAGGCACTTTCTGGGGTGAGTTAAAACTGAGAGGAATGTACCTGGGATGAAAGTCAGCTCTGCTATGTCTGAGAACATGGTTCTCAACTAGAAAAAAGTGGACTGGTCCATTCAGGTTGGAGATGAGTGTGTGTCTCAAGCAGGGGGGTTAAGTTTTTGGTCTTTTTGCTCATTAATGAGGGTAGGATGGAGCAAGAGATGGATCAGGGCCTCATCCTCAGCAATGAGGGTGTTGTTTTGGCCACTCATGATGAAGTAAGAGTTGAGTTGAAAGACAAAGCTATTGGTTTACTGGTCCATCTTAGTTACAACCTCCTACCTATGGTCATGAAGTATAGATCATGACTGGAAGAACAAGATCTTGGAAACAAGCAGCTGAAATGAGCTTCCTTCATAGGGTGGCCAGGTTCGGCCTTAGAAATAGAGTGAGAAGCTCCATCCGGAAAAAGGTCAGGTTATAGAAAGGAATTGGCTGGGGTGGATCAGGATACCTCCCTTCTGAAGATTTTGATCCTGTCCCAGTGGGATGAGATTCTGGGGCAGACCCAGAACTTGCTGGAGGAATTGTGTATGCTTTTGGACCTTGGAACCCCTTGGGAATCTCCAGGAGGAGTAGGAGAGTGTCCCTAGTGTGTTTACAGTTTGCACCCAATGTGTAAGCTTTTTGCACATGCTCCATGTCTTGTTCATTCATCCGCATTCATTGCACAGTTTTCTTTTTCTTTCTTTCTGACTTTAAGTTTACAATTAATTATTTTAATTTTACCTTTTAACCTGTTTTGTATCCAATCAGAATGCTTTTACAAATCATAAACCTTGTTCAGTGGGCAGCACGGTGGTGCAACTGGTAGAGCTGCTGCCTCTCGGCGCGCAGGTCCTCGGCTTTTCTCCGGGTGCTCCGGTTTCCTCCCACAGACCAAAAACATGCAGGTTACACTGATGGTGACTCTGAATTGTCCCCAGGTGAGAGAATGGTTGTTTGTCTGGTTTGTCTCTATGTGTCCCTGTGATGGACTGGAGACCAGTCCAGGGTGTCCCCCCCCGCACAGTGATTGCTGGACATGGGCACCTGTGACCCAAAATGGAAGAAGCGAGTAAAAGGTGATGGATGAACCTTGTTAACATGTATATAGTGTGTCTATAGTTATAACCACAAATGTAAAAAAAATGCAGATTGTGCAAATTGTAAATTACTTAAAAGCTAAAATAGAACTTTATTGATTCCGCAGGAAATTATTCTGCCAGACTTTCAGAACAAAGGAACATACACAAGAATCACAAGATATAAAGATACCAGAATGTAAAATACCAACAATTAAGTTCTAAACAGGTGCAGACAGAAACATTAAGAGTTTATTGGAGTTCAGGATTCATTTTATTGTCCTATGTGCAGAAAGGGGGAGGAGTTAAAAAGTGTGAAGGACTTCCTGTTGTTCTGTGGAGCACCTGGTGGTCTCAGTCTGACTGAAGGTGCTGCGCTCAGAGTCCAGGGTGTCCTGCAGGGGGGGTGACGTTCAGGATCTGGAGCAGTTAAAACCTAAACATTTTAGTTTTTTTCCAAATATGTAAACTTTATATATATATATATAAAATGCTTCAATCATAATATAGCCCTGCTAGCGTCCCGTTTTGTTGATAATGACATTAGTTAATAAATTTTTCTCCAAGTCG